TTTTAAATCTGTAATAGAATTTACAGTGTTCACTTACTGGCTTTTGTATGTTACCATTCCTGAGGTCCGATTTGTGTCCATTTATTCTTTTGCGGAGGGCCTGTCCGGGTTGGCCAATGTACATGGCAGAGGGGCATTGCTGGCACATGATGGCATATATAACATTAGTGGATGTGCAGGTGAATGAGCTCTTGATGGTGTGGCTGATGTGGTTGGGTACTCTGATAGTGTCGCCAGAGGAGATATGGGGACAGAGTAGGCAACGAGGTTTGCTACAGGGATTGGTTCCTGGGTTGGTGTTTCTGTGGTTTGGTGTGTAGTTGCTGGTGAGTATTTGCTTCAGGTTGGGGGGTTGTCTGTAAGCGAGGTCTGGCCTGCCTCCCAAGGTCTGTGAGAGTGAGGGATCATTTTCCAGGATAGGTTGTAGATCGTGGATAATGCGCTGGAGAGGTTTTAGCTGGGGGCTGTATGTGATGGCCAGTGGTGTTCTGTTATTGTCCTTGTTGGGCCTGTCCTGTAGTAGGTGATTTCTGGGTACCCGTTTTCAATGCTACCTAAGGAGTAATCTCACCTTATCATAGCCCCAAGATGCCTCATTTTACGGCATTGCTGCATGAACTGGAAAAGCAGGGAGAGAGGCTATTTCCAGCCCAACCCTTCAGGCTCAAGATTCAGATGGAGCGGATTCCAGTGGGCAGCCAAACTACTAGGTGCTCATATGAACTCCATATATTTAATTTACACCCATGGCTACTCTACCAGAGTGGTGTAAAAGTCCCATAGCATAAGTGAGAATCTGGGCCTACAATGTATGCCATTACACTCCTGGGGCCAAATTCATCCCTGATGTAGCTCCACTGAAATCAATGGAGCTGCACCCTGGAGGAATTTAGCCCATTGACATCAATGTGAGTTGAATCTGTCTGCATCAGGGCTGAGTTTGGGCCCCACCAAATGTCTGATCAGAGAATCATAGAAGATTAGGGTTGGAAGAGACCTCAGAGGTCATCTAGTCCAATCCCCTGCTCAAAGCAGGACCAACACCAACTAAATCATCCCAGCCAGGGCTTTGTCAAGCTGGGCTTTAAAAACCTCTAAGGATAGAGATTCCACCATCTCCCTAGGTAACGCATTCCAGTGCTTCACCACCCTCCTAATGAAATAGTGTTTCCTAATATCCAACCATTCTCTTTGAAACCTCCCCCCCCCCACTTCAGGTAGTTGAAGGCTGCTATCAAATCCTCCCTCACACTTCTGTTCTGCAGACTAAACAAGCCCAGTTCCCTCAGCCTCTCCTCGTAAGTCATGTGCCCCAGACCCCTGATAATTTCCGTTGCTCTCCGCTGGACTGTTTCCAATTTGTCCACACCCTTTCTGTTGTGGGGGGGTCCAAAACTGGACACAGTACTCCAGATGTGGCCTTACCAGTGCCGAATAGAGGGGAATAATCATTTCCCTCGATCTGCTGGCAATGCTCCTACTAATGCAGCCCAATATGCCATTAGGCTTCTTGGCAATAAGGCCAAACTGCTGACCCATATCCATCTTCTCATCCACTGTAATCCCCAGGTCCTTTTCTGCAGAACTACTGCTTAGTCAGTGCAAGCTACAGTGCTTTGCCACTCTGGGACTAACCTAGTCTGGGGGACAAGATCTCTGCTGCCTTTGCACCTTGCAGAGTCATTTGCAGCTATGCAGAGTGGGTGGAAGACATACCCCCAGTGTAAGTGAGTAGGGAAGTCTGATTGGGTGGCATGGCATAGGAGTATGGACAAGGACACAATGTCGAAGGCGACAGAGAACCAGGCTCCAGGTATGTAACCTATGCCAACATCTACGTCACTGCTGATTTAGCCTCATGTCACCAGTTAGGCAGTGAACTTCATTCTGGGCCTAACTCAAGCCACTGAAGTCAACAGGAGTCTTTCCATTGGCTCCAGCAGACTTTGGATCAGGTCCCCTGAGCGCCTTACCCAGGTGGCAATGGGCGTTTGTCTTGAGGAAAGTATGCAGGATTAGGCCCCCTATATGGTTATGGCAAGAATTAGATGAGTCTATTCCACTGTCACAGGGTGACTGGCCCCTTTAATGGGGGTGGAGGGCAGTGCATTTGTGACTAATTACCTGCCACCCAACTGGGCTTAAAAGAAGGCACCTTGGCCTCATGAAGGGAAAGACAGCAGCTGGGGGAGTTGCTGAAGAGGGCTCCTGAAGGAAGCTGCTGGAGGAATGGCTGCAAGTCCAGAAACACTGGCACAAATAGTCCTGTGCAACACCCTGACTGCAAAGAGGAGAGACTACAGGCTAGGAATGGATGTACCTAGGGTGGGTTGAGGGATAGAGCCCTGAAATGGCTCAAAAGTGTGCCTGGAGGAGAGGTTTGGAGCCAGCCAGACCTCAGGGAAGAGAAGGGGCCGTGGCAGACTGTGAAAGGAATAGCTGGAAGAGACTTTGCTTTGGGTTTACTTTGCTTTATATGTTAACAAACCAGGCCAAAGAAAAATGTTTGTTATTGTATATAAATCTCAATGGATTATTCCTGGGACTTTGAAAGGGAAACTGAGGCAATGGGCTGCAGAGCCACATTTGGCCAATAGGGGGTCACTACAGAGGAGGCATACCCTTTGACATACACATAGACTTACATGTTCCATTTCTTAGCATGTGAGTAAATGTTCAGTCTTTGGACGAAATGCTGTATTATTGTTATGTTTTGTTATGCCGTTCTCCTTTGGGAGACACCGTAACCAATAGCAAAGGTTTGTCCTCTGCTGTATTCTCTATATTTGGTGGCAATTCTTGGGCCAGAGCAGCTTGAAGCAAGCATTGGTGGGTGAGCTGTAACTTCTGGAAGAGGGGATTGTCAGCATGCTGTTTGTGACTGCTTCTATTTCACACTATGTAGCAAAATAGACTCAGACTACAACCGGATTATGCATTATTGATTTCTCTTCCACTGGGAAGCTGACTTGAAGGCCCCACAATTCCACAGTCACTCAGCAGAGGGGCCACTCTGGTGCCAGCGTGAGACGGTAGTGTCAGAAGAAAGGCAAAAATGTTGTCCAGTTGCATTTTCTGCATCTGGCTGCCTTGTCTGGCAAACGCATTAGTCATATTTATTGTAAGATTAATCTGTTGAACATCCCACTAACAAATACACACAGAAGCTCATTTACACATTGGCTCTGCCTGTCGATGGGCATGTGATATCAGTAAGTAAAATAAACCCAGATTTTTATAAAAGCTCTGCTTTAAAGTTTATCTTACGTCAGAAAGTTAGTTGCCTCTACAAAAGTGGGAAGATCACTCTGTGTCCTTTCTCACAGCAGTACACATTTTCGGGGGGAAATACAAACCTCGGGTCTCTTCCTGTCTTTCCATTATGTCAAAAGGTTCTTGGTGGGTTCAAAAAATAATCAGCGTCAGGATTATTTTTAAATAAACAATGATACAATGTTATTTATAAAATCTGGTCTTATGTTCAGATGGTTTTAGCTCTGAGTCCATGACGTAAATCCTGTGAAATCATATTAAATAATGTGACACTAAATAAATGAGGAATAGTAGCTCACTTTCCTTATGATTCGTAGCACTCTTTTGTGGACAGAACTATTAAAAAAGGAGTCAGGTTGGATTTTGCTCCAATATAAAAAATGTATCTTTAAAACATCTGTGCAGCAGGAGGGAGACAGAGATCCAAGAGCATTCAGAGAACACAGAATCAATGTGTTCCATTCAGAAAAAAAGAAAAAACCCTGTGTTCTATGGACTCTAGACACTTGAAATTTGTAGTTTGCAGGAAATTTTGACACTCTGAAAACGGGTTTTGGTCCAAATCAGAACAAAACCAAATATCGCTGAAATTTCCTGAAAAACTTCAGTTTGGGAAATTTTTCCAAATTTATTTTTTTGCTAGGACTTTCCCGCCATTTTTATATTTACTTCCTACCATATCGTAGTAGTGCATAATATGTCAGTTGAAATATTCTATTGTTTTTTGTTTTGTTTGTAAAATCATTAAGGGAAAGAAAGAGGTTGTCTTTGACACAGTATGATGCTCACATACTGTATGCTTGGGGCAGGAAGGGATCAGGAGCCAACTGGCTTAGATTCTCAGCTGGGGTAAATTGCCCTACCTCCATTGACCTACAGGGATGTGGCTGGAGCACACTGCATTACAGCTATTCTCTCCTTTCCTGGGCTCATGGGAAGCCATGCATTGGTGCTCCTTGTGCTATGGGGCAGCCAGGGGTCTACCTGGCCCTCAGTGCAAGTCAGAGCAACTGTCCCAGGGTGATTGCGCCCCTTTAAGGGAGAGGATCTTAGTCCTCCTGTGACTGAGCAGGTGTGCCCTGGCTAGGCCCAATTAGCAGGCAGGGTAGCACCTAGGCTCAAGAGTAGGGTTGCCAACTTTGGTTGGACCAATTCCTGGAGATTTCATCATATGATGTAATCCTGATGCCTCCAGGACAATCCTGGAGGGTTGGCAACCCTAATCA